GTTATCGCAGATGTATTTTTACACCCCCTCGAACGGTTTGCAACACATCAGCTGTACATTGTGTGGTTGGAGAAATGGTAGACTTGTTGCAACCCGTCTCTCTCTCTCTCTGTCTCTCTCTCTCTCTCTCTCTCTCTGTCTCTCTGTCTCTCTCTCTCTCTCTCTCTCTCTCTCTCTCTCTCTCTCTCTCTCTCTCTCTCTCTCTCACTCTGGGAACAGTAGCTATTCTGCAGGGCCGATGGAGGAAGGGTACAATTTCTGTCCACCTGTCCTGAGTAGATCCTGTGAGAAGGTTCAGCACAACGTTGATCCCACAGTTGTGTCAGATCTACGGTAACAAGTATCCATTACGCAAAAATAGCCCACTGTAACAGTTGAAAGGTCCAGAACAGACTAATGTGAGAGAACCACACATCGAGCTGATTTTCGTTCATAAAATCAAAGTTTCTCTATCGTCTTTTATCCTCAATATCCTCAAACAAAAAACATGTATTTTCCAGAAGAGGACAAGTCCATTTTATTTCTTTTCTTTTTTCATACGTTTCTGTTCTTGGTAATAGTGTACTGACTCATGCTATGGCGTGCAAAGGAGAAATTATGTGATACACAACTGACATAATGTCATTGCAAAGAAGCGTCGATTCCCACTTTCGAGAGGAAACCGGTAAATGATTTGGTGCGAAACTGAATGGTGCCAGCAAATGTGCCACGCAGTTGTTGGTAATTTGACACGCTACTGGTTCCTACCAGGCAACTGGCTCTCTTTAGATAGCTCGTTTTGATACCCAACAAGGTATATTATAACACGTATATATCTATAGGCCTATAGATAAGCAGGTGTAGGCCTTGAAGAAGACTGAACAAATGTAGAAAACGCCAAATCCCAAATACCACAAAGTGCTGCTTTCCCACATTTCTATTGAGAGGGAACAAAGATAGTAAATAACAAGATGGGCCACTCAGCCAAAAAAGTGTCCGCAGGAAGTATGCTCTTTGCTTCAGATGGCGCTGCAGTCTGTTTTGAAGCTCTCTTTCGTTTTTCCAGAAGAAGAATAGGAATAGCACCTCCTTGCGTGCGCAGATCGACTGCTGTTCATCAGCAGTTCGGGTACGTTCAGTGCGCAGTTTTAGGTTTTTTAAAATTTTAATGACCTCTCGCCTTTCATTCTAAAGTCAAATTAAACGAAGAAAACCATCACCCTTTCCTCCGGAAGAGGTTTTTTGTCAGCGTAACCATTTTAAAAAAGCGTTCTTCCGAAATTTATCCCAAAACTTGCTGGTTTCACTTTGATTTTTAAAAACTCAAGTAGGGTAACTCTGTTCGCAAAGAGTGCACTTTTGTAAAGAGGGCGCCACCAAATTTTGAGGACACTTTTTTAATTGGCTCAAAGAGAGAAGTGGCCCATCTTGTTATGTACTATCATTGGAGGGAATCAGCACTCTTTAAAAAACATGGGACCTCTTCAGTGGAACTGTGCTTTTTGAAATACTTGACAAATTACAAGTAATTGTGCTTTTGTGACGAGCATTTCAAACAGTTTAAAATTAGGTTCTTAAGGAAATGTTGGTTTATATTAGTATTAGACAATCCTTGAACATTTTCGAAACAAGAGAATCCAATAATATAGAATAACTAAATAAACAAGAGAATCCAATAATGTAAAATATTTGAACAAACTGGAACATTCTTACAATCTGACATGACAGAAAACTTTCAAATTGTTGAGGATGAAGTTGCAATTTAAAATTTAACAAAAAGTAGAAACGGAAAAAAAGTTTTAGAAAACTGACAATCATCACAATTTTATTTTTACATCTAAATCTACATTTAAAATAAATAGAAAAATCAAAGAAAATTGAAATTAAGACAGAAACTAAGCACAAACCACTTACAAAGTGGAAAAAAAACAAAAACAATTTCCATGTTCCTTTGTCGATTTTCGTTTTTAAAAAAAGTTATGATAAAACCACAAGTTGAGTTTCAGAAAAATGCATTTCAACTAGTGCAGTATTAACTGTATGTACATCACAACACATAGACGGCATTATGCATTATTGCTATGTCATTTCACATTAATATTGCTTAGTTAATGAAATAGTTTACACCAAGAGACTACAAAACATTTTCTGCAGCATACAAAGCAGTTACTCTTAGATTGAGTACAAAACTGACACACTCATTCTCTATCAAACTGAAACTTTTATTGGGGGTAACAGATAAGTGGACAATGGCCACTCTGTCACTAGACAACATCAACTGTCCTACTGTGAGTGAGTCAGTTGTTAAAATAAGGGCCATGCAACAGGTGACCCATGGGTCACAACTCAGGTTAGTCAATAATAATAGTAATAATTATAATAATAATAATCATATAGTTATAATATTATGTCTGCCAACAAGTCCGAGAACTGCTGTTGTGGTCAGCTCAAAGTCAAGTCACGGAATCGGTTCTTAAAGTCACAAATAGGCCTATGTGCCTTGTGTTTGACTTCACATAGTAGCTAATGTACAAATGTCTTTGTTAGGCCTATATGTACATTTCTATTGACTTGGCATTCATAGAAGCAAATGTACACATCGGTCAAACCTTCTGTTTTAGGGTCAGTTCGAAATGGTCACACTTTCATCCTCAACAAAATGTCATGCGCAAAAGCAGATACTATTGTACAGAGAAATTCAATCTTTCTATTAAAGTCAGGAGAAGAAATGAAAGATTATCATCTTTTTACTAAAAACTGAGTGATAAAACTTTTTTCTAAGCCTCGACTTATTTTGTTCGGTCAGCTCATTCAGAGGCATAGTTTCCACTATAAAGAATGGCATCCGATTTTTCTCTAGTGAGCAAAGCAAACTGCCTTAATTTTCTACTATGGACAAATGGCCAACTGTGTCATGTATGTAGCTGACAGGGCTTCCGACTCTGACTTTTGCTTATTGCTGCTAACTTTCAAGACAAATTATGAATAAAGCTATGATCAGAGTTACTGGCTTGACCCAATGCACATGAATCTGACAAGAGTCTTTAGAGAGCAGAAAACAACACAGATCAGAAGAATTGTCCTCATATAGTCATTTTGGACCTCAGGGGAAACTAGAGCTGGGGAATTTTGTTGACAAAGGGCTAAGTGACAATCGTTAACAAAAATAAGATTAAAGATTCAATTAAGGTTTTTCATTCTAATCGTCTTTCATAGACAGCTTTTTCCAGATTTTTTTTTTAGAGTGTGTGATTTAGATGAAGAGAACAGATGAATACAAAAACTCAATATCAGAAAGAAATCAGTTAACTATTACGATTCGTCTCACACTAACATAAGATAACTTGAGGTTCTTTAGTAAAGTTCAAGTATTTACATTTTTATGCCATTTGTTAAATAAGAAAAAGGGTCACTACATCTGAAGACTGAGAAGTTATTATTTTACTTATGGGATCAACCGCCAGCTGACAGCTTTTCAATACACATTCCAACAGTTCACTGTTCACAGCAATAAAAATTATTGATACTGGTAAAATATTGTCTAAGTTTCCTTCCTCAACAGCTTTGAATTTTTCAAGCCAAAAGAAAGTAAGGGTATGTAAATTTCCACAAGTAAAATCATTAATCATTAAAGTGTATACAAATCGTTAGACATTAAAATGTATAAAAATCGTTAGACATTAAATGTTTTCTACCAACCTTTGTAAATAATTATTAAAAAATCATAAGAAATTTTCTGACTTTAACAATGCAACTGACGACAACATTACCAGATTATTGTTGCACACTTGCACACACACACATAAACAAATATCAACATGCATGTCCAAACACACACACACACACACAAGCAGGCACACACACACACACACACACACACACACACACACACACACACACACACACGTGTAAATGCATACGCACACACATGTACACACACACACACACACACAATATGTGGATTTTTAAAAATACTTTCACCAAAGAAACAGGAACAAATCTTAGTCAAAAATAGAACTAACAACTAGAGTTAGAGAATGTCCTTGACACAGCTAGACCATATGTCAGTGCACATACCAGTCACCCCCCACCCTTCCCCAAATTGAGTATCAATCTCTCAACCTCACATTCCACACAGTGACTTCAAGAATTTGAAATTACTTCCTAAGATCGGTCCTTTAATTAAATCATGACTAACATCGGAACATTTGTTAACTTATCATTAACATCAGAACATTTGTTAATTTATCACTAAAATCAGAACAACTGTTAACTTATCACCTACATCTGAATAACTGTTAAGTTATCACTTACACTTGGCCCATCTGTTAACTAAGGAAAGAATCACAGTCTGCCTACACTCGTCCTGTGTGTCATATGTGTCGTGTGTCGACCTATTGGGACAGTCCTGTCACTGTAGCTGGGTGTCCGCTTGACAGGATAGAAAAGCTGGGGTTATCATCGCCTCACAAGATAGAAAAGCTGGGGTTATCATCGCCTCACAAGACAGAAAAACTGTGGTTATCATTGCCCCTCAAGAAAAGAGGAGAGTTTGAGTTCCATAGCTTACAAAACAGCTGGGAGAATGAAACGCGCACCACTCAAATGCTTGTTATTATGTTCAGATATGCCATTTAAAGAAATGTTTGAAGTTTGAATAATATTATAATATATATTCCAGTCCAGGAATTACTCCGTTTCCTCAACTTAAGCGACATCAAAGGACGCATACTCGTCTGTGCACAGGAAGCAGAGCTAAGCTCATTGGTGCTGTCCCCTGTCCCAGCACAGAACTCAAAGGGACATGAACAACTTACATCACAAACACAGGCACACATCTAGGAACATGAACAACATACACCACACACACAGGAACATGAAGAAAGCAACATACATTACACCTCTAGGAACATGAACAATGTACACACACACCCTGGAACATGAGCAATGTACATTACACGCTCAGGAACATGAACAACTTACACCACACACACAGGAACATGAACAACTTACACCACACACACAGGAACATGAACAACTTACACCACACACACAGGAACATGAACAACATATACCACACACACAGGAACATGAAAAACGTACATTACACACCCAGGAACATGAAAAACGTACATCACTCACACAGGAACATAAAAAACGTACATTACACACCCAGGAACATGAGCAATGTACACAGGAACATGAAAAACGTACATCACTCACACAGGAACACGAACAACATACATCACACCTCTAGGAACATGAACAACGTACACACACACCCAGGAACATGAACAAGGAACATGAACAATATACATCACTTATTTATCATATGACTTGAGCCTATCGGTCAGTCCATCATACTTTTGGTACTTCCAACTGTGACATGAATGGGAAATACTAAACAGAAAGTGACCACTCCGTAGATAAGAGTGAGGAATCATATGTTAGAGGTCACAGGTCAGTTTCCTGGTCAAGTGACCACAAGTTCTCATTCACAGTTTCCACACTCTGAGCAGTCCCAGGAGAGAAGTTTGAAATGTCTCAAGGTAAATTTGCTTGTAAGTATAGGACTACTTCTCCAGTTTTCATGAATTGCCAAAGAAAAAACCCTCATGGTTCTGATGGGCTCTCTGGGCCTGTCGTTGCCTTTTGGCGCCCCGGCGAGAATGTCCTTTTCTCATTCGTCTTGAATTCCGAGGGGCAGAGTCATGGTCCTGATTCAGTGGCGCTTCACAGACATAGCGAGCCTGATATTTGTTACAATGCTTGTTGCGCCATTTTGCTCGCTTTTTCACCACAACACAATTCTTCTTGTGGGGCATCCGACGAACGCGAGGCTTGCCCATTTTCCAGTTGAGGACTGTCACAGGATCGCCAGAGGTGAACACCCAGTTGCCATTCTCAGCTTTGTCATTGAGACCTGGAACACAAGGCAATATCTGTTCTATACACAATCTCACTGACAAATACAGAAATACACATACACACATATAATATATATAAACAATATATATATATATATATAGTGGCGTCTAAAAGAACTTGAAAATGTAATCTCCCAATCATCGTGTTAAAGCTTTGCATTACTCACTCGTGCAGCATACCAATTCACAGCTAAATAAATTTTGCATCATATGACACACTAATATTTCATCTATGTTAAAGAGACGTTCGAGATATGGTCACTCAAAATTTACCTAAAAAATCAGACTCAGTAAAAAAAAAAAAACGAACTTTTACCAAAACCATCACTATAAAACAGCAAGTACCCTAACTCTAACCCTGCTGCCAAAATGGCTGTCTTCTATATATTGACCTCAAGATCATGAAACAGGAGAAGCAAACATAACCTCAACAGAAAATTAAAACGCAAGCTCCTGATCATGAAGAAAAATATTTTTAAAAACCAAAAAAAAACCCAAAAAACAAAGTAGGCACACAGTGTTGTGCATTCTGGCAATGCTAGTAGTAGAAACAACAGTGGGCATCAGAGAAAGTCTTAGTCTTACCAATCCAGAAAGCTTTGCCATTCATCCGTTCCACTAACCAGCGCAGCTGCCTGATGGATCCCACTGAGGTGAGGTGTCCGTTAAACATGATCTGACATTTGTGCTCAGCGTCGTCCCAGGACAATCGCTCATCCACGGGCCTGTAGCAGCGACCCTCGTACTCCACCCAACCTGAGCCATAGACAGACCGGAACAAACTAGTCAGGAAAATTGAAATACAATTTCTAAAGACAGACCGGAACAACCTGTCTGGAAAACTAAAATACAATTTTTAAAGACAGACGGAAGCAAACTAGTCAGGAAAACTAAAATACAATTTCTAAAGACACACAGGAGCTAACTTGTCAGGAAAACTAAATTACAATTTCTAAAGACTGACCGTAACAAAATAGTCACGAAAACTGAAATATAATTCCTAAAGACAGACCGGAACAAACCAGTCCGGAAAACTGAAAGACTTACACATTTCGAATTACCCGACACAAAACTTTTTCTTCTAATGGTCTATCTTTCCCATAACCCTTCTACCTCAATCCATCCCCCCCCCCCAACCCTCTCGTTCTGTCTCTCCATTGCTCTCTCTCTTTCCATCACTCTATCTCTCTTCTGTCTCTCTTTCTCCCTGTCCGTCCCCCCCCTCCTCTCTCTCTTGTTCTGTCTCTCCATCACTCTCTCTCTTCCTTTCTCTCACTCTATCTTTCTTCAGTCTCTCTTTCTCCATATGTCTCCTTGTCCGCCCCCCCCCCCTTCTCTCTCTCTCTCCCCCCTGCTTGTATAAGAGTTTAAACTGCCTTTGGAAAAGACCCAAAAGAGAAACATTAAATGATAGCCAAACAATATTTTTTCTCATTTTAAAACTATGTGCATCGATTTTTTCAAGATCTCTGGAACAAGTGAGATTATATATTATAAAAATTGTGATGACAGTGAGGGAAATTTGAAAAAATCACTTGTGGTGCTTAGCAGCAAGGTAGAGTACAAAGGCCATTTTCCCTGGGCCAAAACCTCTGCGGATGTTTTTGACCGACTGACCGACTGACCTTGTTGACAGGCCTGGCTGGTTGCCCCGTCATTGCTGGAGTTTGGGCTCCAGGGCTCCCACTTGTCCCCGTCACACTTCAGCAGCTGGTAGTGGAAGTCGTCAAAGTGCAGGAAGCCTTTGGTCTCCGCCGTACACTTCTTGGGGACCTGCAATGTGTCAAGAAAGTTGGTTTTTTTCTGTGTTTTTTTGTAAGAGTTTTATAGCGCTCGCAACTGTATAAGGTCACATAAGTGTGCGGGACACATTAAACTTTTTCAGTGGGTCAGAAATTTTTAATATTCCCCAGGTGGTGGCCGAAGCCTACTCTTATCAATTTTAGACCACCAAGGGATCTTTAACGTGCACAACTTGCACTGGCCCTCGGAGATTTTTCGTCCTTGTCCAAGAAGGCTAGGTGTAGATCTTTCCTACCAGAAGATCAGGGGTGTGGTGAAAAGACAGCAATAAAAAGGAGCCAAAGAGTAGCAGTAGAAAGGCTACAGAAAGAGTTAGGAGCCCAGAGGAGGGGGTAAAGGAGGTGAGTGGGCGGGGGTGGAAAGAGGAGATGAAAGCAGACAACAGAACATTGTGCAAGCGGCCATTTATAGGCACTAAAACACAAACATACTGACAAGATCTTTCGCTGTCTGTGGCCGGGTACCCATTCCCACCTCGGTGGAGTGAGAAAAATTCGTGTTAAGTGCCTTTCCTGAGCACACAACGTCGGGCCCGCAGCTCGAACCTCCGAACCCGCAACCTCACGATTAAGAGTCCGGTACCCTAAAAACCCCAGGCCACTGACACACATATATACATACATACACACACATATCACATATATTGGCCTATATACATATATCTGGTAAGCATGCTGGAAACACAAGTATTTCACCAGGTAAATGTGTTGGAAACATAAATGTCACCTGGTCAAGGCGTTGGAAACAAAAATCTCACCTGGTATGTGTGAGACAGCGTGGTGGAATCAGGCGCTCGTCAAAATAATGAAAGTGGAGAAACTGACATTTTTCTGCAGGTTTGGGAACTTTAATTGCCCTTTTATCCCCATAAAAAAATACACATCCCTCTAGAATTTACTGGAAAACGTTGCTTAAATCATAAAAGATGTAAACTTTCAGTTTCAACGGGCTCTCAAGCTAAGGAAATAACAAAACTTTGGGGGACATTTTTTCGCTAATTTTACCTGTGAAACCAGGCAATCACCAATATCTTGAGTGGTATCCAAGATAAATGGGCATTTATTTCATAAAAAGTGAGACAAATTAACAAATTTTAAGATGATACCAATAACTCCATATGCCCCAAAAATTGACAAGCGCCCGATTTCACCATGTCGCGACACAAATGTGTTGGAAACAAGAATATCACCTGGTATACCGCTGTGCCCTGTGGTCGTGTGAGACCATTCGAACTAGGAGATGTGATGTCCACCTCAGCAGATGATGGGCTAGGAAGGATGACTTCACTCTTTCTTCCGTTCCTCTTCCTCTTTCTTCTGTTCTTTCTTTTCTTCCCTTTCCTTCGCCTTCTGTTTTTCCTTCTTTTTCCTTTTCCAGAACCACTGAGAGAAGTTACTGGAGAGGAGGGTGAGGAGGTCTCACTCATTGAGGATTTTTTCTCTGCCTCGGTGTTGAGGAACGCATTGTCGAAGCCATTGCTCAGAGGGATGTTGCCAATGTTGTGAAACTGACAAGAGAAAAATAAGGGTGGTCAAGTTGTGAAACTGACAAGAGAAAAATAAGGGTGGTCAAGTTGTGAAACTGACAATAGGAAAATAAGGGAGGTCAAGTTGTGAAACTGAAAACAGGAACAAAATAAGGTTGATCAAAGAAACAAGATTAAAAGAGCAAACTGACACCTACCTCAAGACTGTAGGCATTAACATCTACACAGCACACAAAACATCTTAAAGCTCATGCCTAGGCAAACATATTTCGCTTCTGTGTTCAACATGAGGAGAATGGACCTCTGAATAGCTAGTAGGCTGGAAGCACAACGGCAACTGAAGGAGAAGGATGGAATCTGAACTTCTGTGACACTTAATAGTTGAGGCTTTGACTTTTCAATCGTTCATAATGACAGTAGAATTGCCGTGTTTTATTTATTTATATTTTCATTCAGTGGAGATATTCAAAGACATAGAGACAACAAAACTCATCAATTCCGCGTGATTATTGTCGCGGTTGAAAGCAACACACGATTGTGTAAGTCCTAATTGCTCTAGACTGCTAGAAATAAACAACATCCTAAACTACATAAAAACAGCCAAGTCATCTAATGAAAGTTCTGCAACCATTCACAAAACTGCTTGTAATGGGAAATATTTGTTAGTGATACACAAGTGAAAAGATTGGTTACCAGAGTAACTTGATCTCTTGAGTCACCAGCCGTGGGGATGGGCCGGCCTTGTTGACTGCCCACTGTCATTTCCTCTCCGTTGGAGTATTTGCTGATCATGCCAAGGTACTGCGGGCACTCACCTGATCACAAATTATATTTAATTTTATTTGGTCAAATACGAAAACATCACAAAATTCTATGCACAAGTAGATGTAGCAAAACTATTCAGGCTTGATATAAAGTTGTGCTTTGGTTACAAGGACTGGTGTAGTTTTAATGCTCTGTGCCACAGCTCACAGTAGACAAGTGTTTGATTTCCCTCTTGGAGTAATTATTAGATCAAGTGTCACTGTATGTCTTTGCGATACTGAACCCTACAAAGCTCCATTGGCCCTTACAGGTGCTGTGGAAGCAGCCTGCTTCCTGAATGAGTTTAATACACAGGTGGGAGTTTTGTTGATGTTGTTGTTATCCATAAACTGGTCCGAGTGTTGTTGTTGTTGTTGTTGCTGATGTTGTTGTTGTTGTTGTTGTTGTTATCCATACACTGGCGGGAGTGTTGTTGTTTTTGTTGCTGATATTGTTGTTGTTGTTGTTGTTGTTGTTGTTATCCATACACTGGTGGAAGTGTTGTTGTTGTTGTCGTTGTTGTTGTTGTTTCAGTGCCTCTAATGAAATAACCGGACAAGATACAAAATCAATTTTTTACACCTAAAACTGTACGTTGAAAAGTACCAAAAATGAAGTCAGCCCAGCCAAAGCGGTGACAAGGAGCTCACCCCCATGACCCCGATGTGAAAAGGCGCTCAACATGCCCCTCTCCCCCCTGCGTTGCAACTAAAAAACTAAAATTCCACCGTTGCTGCGCGTTGAGCTGAGCTGACCAGATTCCTCAAGTTATTCGTGATACTGGATAAGGGCTTTGGAAATTGGGCAGATCAGAAACTGAATCCTTGGTTGAGAAGTGTCTCATTTGAAGCATATAAATGATGGCTCAGGGAGGAAGTTTGCTTGACAAAGTTGCTTAATGTTCCGATGAGGAGGTAATTGATCCCCAGTGGAACAGCTTTTCGTCAAGGTGCTGAACAGATCTCAATGACCCTACAGTGCTGAAAAAGGCCGTAAAACCATACCATGACCTGAAATAGATGAGCAAGGTAAACAGTTTGGTTTCTGTGTCCAGTTCACTGACCGTTCTCAGCATTGATGATGACCACCCGCAGCTTTCTCTTCTCGCCCAGCATGGTGTTGATTGGCTCGACCAGGCTAAGGCGAAGCTTCTCGTTGGGCTCCATAAGTCCATCGTCTGGGATGGTCAGAGACCACGTGGCTCTGGACGCTCCTGTGGGGGGGGGGGGGGGGGGGGGCAAAACGTGACAGGTGCAAGGTCGGTGATAAAACATTGCACGAGGTCAGAGCATGGACACCCTATGACGTATGTGTGTGTGTGTGTGTGTGTGTGCGTGTATGTGTGCGTGTTTGTGTGTGTGTGGGTGTGTGTGAGTGTGAGTGTCTCACTCTCTCTCTTTCTGTGTGTACGTGCGTGTGTGTGTGTGTCTGTGTGTGTGTGTGTGTGTGTGTGTGTGTGTGTGTGTGTGTGTGTGTTTGTGTGTACATAAATGTATGCATATAATCACTTTCAGTTTGTGGTTTCTATCAGCATGTATGTATAAGAGGTGTGTGGGGGGGTGGGGGTTGTTGTGTCTTGAGTCGAAGATTCCGCTCAATAAATGGTTAACTAGAGGATGTGAGAATGACGTATGATAAATGGTTAACTAGAGAACATGAGAATGATGTGTGATAAATGGTTAACTAGAGAAACTGAAAATGATGTACGATAAATGGTTGACTAGAGGATATGAGAATGACATATGTAATGTGGGTTGACTTGATCTGCAAATACCATACAGAAGTTATGGCTGTAGATGTGCCACACCTACACCCCACTCGGAACTACAGGTGGATATTACAGAAAGGAGATGACAACCGACCTGGATCAAACTGGATTTGCTTGGCTGTGCTGGGCACGAAATCCTGGCCTCTCTTTGTGGACATCTCGCGGATGTGCATGCTCACAAACGCCGACTGTTCCAGACTGCCGGTCCTGGACACTGGGATGTTCAGTGTGCCGATGTTCTCGCAGACCACCACTTCCTCTTGGCCGAACTCGACACGGGACCAGCTCATCTCAAACCTAGGTACAGTTTGTCACAATTATAGGTCACAATTATAGGTACAGTTTGTCAGAATAATAGGTAGGCCTACAGTTGGTCACAATTATAGGTACAGTTTGTCACAACAATAATAAGTAGTATAGTTTGTCACAATAAACTTAGAGGTACAGTGTGTCAGAACAAACTTAGAGGTACAGTTTCTCAGAGCCATGGTCAATGTGTGTCTGTACTGACAGTGTAAAACTCATACTGAACCTAGGTTCAGTTTTTGAGAGGAAGTGTGCGTGCAAGTCTGTAGTGACTGAGTGAAAGAACAGAAGAACATACTTGTGTCAGTTCATAGACAGGGGGGTGGGGGGAGAGAGACTCAAGATTGTAATTGGTAGCTGGCTGTTGCAGAATGACAATGGAATTGAGCTGTGACAATAAATGGATTACTGGCTGCAAGTATAACTGAAATCAAATCACACATAAGACAATAATGTGTATTTTAATTCATGAAGAGTAGCACTAGAAACCTAAAGCTTAGAGAAAAAAATAAATAATAAAACAGCTTCCAAAACGAATAGGCCTAGAGTAAAAAAATGTTTTTTTGGCTGGTGTGAGAGAGATGGATGAGGTGGAAAGAATGAAACAAACACAAAAAAGGAGGAGAGATAAATGCAATAGATGTTTGATACGAAAGAAGTAGCAAACCACATCAGAGCACCCGCCTACCACCCGCGGACAAACTGTTGTGTCTAAAGAATTTTCCAAAGTCTGGTTGAGATCAAGCGTGTATTTTTTTAGCCAGAATTGTGGTAACTGTTTACGAATATCGGTACCTAAAGTGGGCATGACTTGGATTCTCTTTAGAGATATCAACAGTGGCACAATAATCTAGATGAGCACTTAAAACTCCTTTAATCAATGCTTTTTATTCACTTGTACACAGTCTGAGCTTTTCAAACGATGTATTATACTTGGGGGGTCGTCTCAAAACACCTTTTTTGAGATATGTCGGCAAAAAGAGATTGATTTCATAGTCTTCGCTACAGTTGGCCATGTTTGATTAATTATTATATAGGCTGGGGGTGATGTTGTAAAAAAGCACAATTTACATATTTCCAGCTCAAAGTATTGTCTGATAGAAACAGGGGTGAAATGAAAGCTGCTGAAGAATAAGTTTGAACAGAAATCTCAATTTCTACAGGATATAGCCCAAAATGACTTGAGGCCAAGGCCTAAAGAAAGCGCAGCGAATTCTAAACTTTATTCACAGCTCCTTCCACATTTGTTGCAACAGTTTACCTCTGTGAGTCAAGGTTTTGGGGAACATTTGAACATTTGCTGCAACAGTTTACCTCTGTCCGGCGAGCACGTTGCCCCTCATGTCCTCAACGCGGAAAGTGAACGAGTCATGGTAATTGTTGCTTTTCTGATTCACGATGTACAGGAGACTGCCTGAGTCCAAGTCCTGCTGTGTGAATCGTCTCCGGACATAGCGCTTAGCAACTGTGTTCTCCAAATGACCATATTTGGGACGAGATGTCATCACAAACCAAATACTGGAGCTGTGGATGTTGACATATTTACATACGTAAATTAGATAGTTAAACAAACAGATAGATGAGGTAGATTATCTCTGTTTATGGTATTTAGACAAATAAACAAACAGATGGACAGAGATCTGAAAAAGGACAGAATGGATACAGGAAGAGATAAGAAAGTCGTTGTGAGGTGGTAATAACAATAAATATAATAATAATAATAATAATAATAATATAATAATAATAATAATAATAATAATAGTAATAATAATAATAATAATAATAATAATAATAATAATAATAATAGTAATAATAATAATAATAATACAATAATAATAATAATAACTATTACTATTATTATTATAATTATAATTATTTTCATTATTACTATTATTATTATTACTATTATTATTATTATTATTATTATAGCACAGATCCAGGGTCTACCGACTAACCATTATTACCCAGGCAAATCCTAGACTACTTAGAAACATTCTCGGTTTCCGAGCCGGTTTACACTCAAACACTTAAAGTCTGACAAGAACTTTCCATGTCTATAGATCTTCCCAACAGGGTGAAGTAAGAAAAATTTGTGGAAAATGAAACTCCCAAGGACACACGTGATTGCAACTTCCTGTTTCCTTCATTTCTATTTGTTAGCTTTCCGTACCAAAGCAGAGGAAAAAGAGGACACACTGAACCATGTCTACACTATATCAACATGGCAAAAACCTTTCCACTTCCTCACCTGTCTGAGTCAGAGTCAACAGCCCGCAGCATTTTACTGGTCAGTTTGTAACCATAGCGACGGCGGCCCAGGTGCTGAAGCAGTTCTGGACTCTTGTTGACCACAAGTCGGGGCGCATCCTCCACCAGGGGCTGGACAAAGATGCTGGGAACAAGGACAAACACCATAGTGTAGGATTATTTTTTTTTTTATAGTAGAGGGTTTTACGGTGCTCGCAACTGCATAAGGTCATAAGAGCGCCAAGGGGTGGGTGTCAACAGAGAAGTCTTTACAGGGAATCAGACTTAGACTGCTCACCTCTTTAGCTTCAACAGCATAAGGTCTGCTTCGACTATCAAGGCACCCCAAAATAGCAGGTCACAATTAAGAGTGACAAACATACAAAAGAAGTAGAGGAAAATGACAACAGTAAGGATCAGGAAAGAAAAAGAAGCAGTTCCCTGTTGTAGATCAGGCACAGTTATGAGCGTGACATGAATCAGCCCATATACAATTCTACTGTGCTTGAACAAGAAATGTCCCCCCTTTGGGAATGGCCTAAAGACACTACAGTCAGTGGCACTGCCCCGGGGGGTTGATATTGTAGGAGGTGGGAACAAGGACAAACACGATAAAATAGGAGGCGGGAGGAGAGGCATGGACACGTCATTGTACACATTGTATATGTCACTGTACAAATCATTGTATATGTCATTGTATATATTATGTTATATGCCATTGCACACATCACAGCTCACCTGAACATGGACGGCTGGTTCTGTAGACTGCCGTTGAGGAGAAAACCCTCATGGCGACTGTCACTGACGGTGAAGAGAAAGTTGTCTAAACCTGCGGGGAGAAAAGAAGGGTAAGACTGTACAGTATAACTGTCTGTACTGTTGGTTGACATATAACTGTCTGCACCGTTTGTTGACATATAACTGTACTATTGGTTGACGTATAACTGTACTGTTGGTTGACATATAACTGTCTGTACTGTTGGTTGACATATAACTGTACTGTTGGTTGACATATAACTGTCTGTACTC